GCAAAAGTAGGTTTACAGTTGTGCGTCTGTGAAAGTTTATTTTGGTGTTATTACTGTATTATTTTCCATAGGGACAACTGTAAAACGACTTTCGCAGCACCCTGTGTGCACACGAGTACCATGCGGTAGGTAATCTTTGTAATTCAGACTTGTCTAGCCTGAGAGCACATTGCCGTTTTTTGCCCTTTACTGTGGTTTATTATTTCAAATACAATTCACTGTCTTGAAATTCTTAATAATTTTATCTTAAATTTTGCCTTTTATAACCGAAATCAGATGGAACGACAAAACAGGCGCCTGGTGTGCGCCGGGGCTCACACCGGCATGGCTCCCCAGGACAGGTTCTGCCCCTGGGCAGCCCCGCCCCACGTTCGCGAGAGGGAGGGATTCGGGCCGCAACGCTGTCTGCTACTCGATTCCGTATGCTCTCATTTTGGTGCATTTGGGGGTAGCTAGAGACCAGTGTCAGCACACACCCAGTGTCCAGAGACCCCTGAAGGTGTGTGTCCTTCCCTTCCCCAGGGCACAGCTGCCCTGGAGGAGCCGCTGTCCGCACTTGGGTCCGGCTGGCTGGGCCCTTTCTTAGAGGGCAGTTGCTTCCTTTTCTGCCAAGACGTTCTGGACCTGGGACCCAGGTGCGAGGCTCGGTGCTCCACTGAGCTGCGCGCAGACTTCCGCCCGCCGGTCCGCGCTCACAGAGCAAGAAATGCATCCGCAGGCCGCCGGTCTGTTTCATTCCTAGGAGGCCAGACTCTCGGCACCCCTGTCTCCGACACTCACCGCGGCATTTGCACCGGTCTGACTCCCACTGAAGTCAGTCGACCTGTCCTTGTCACCCCTGGCCTGCAGAGCGCACAGCCCACGCAGCTTTTTAGGGAGGCTGGCCGCCTTACCCACGCGCCTCACCTCTCGGTGCCCGAGTGGCATGTGCTCTGGGACCGACCAAGCAGGCGTCACAGAGGTGAGTGTGTGAGTCACCTATGGTGAATCCAGCCCAGCGACCCTTCTGACCTAAGGCTTCCGCTTCCCTCCTCCTGAATCCAGGCCACTGCTGAGTCTGGGCTACAGTCAACCAACCACGCTGTTGGAGCTGCTTCTAGAGCAGCGATTTTCAACCCTTTTCATCACACGGCACAGAGGAACTAACCCCTAAAATTCTGCAGCATACCAAAAAGTGTTTTTTATCGACCCGACACAAAAAACAGGGATAATTTTGATTCATTCACCCTGGCGGCTCTTGTGTTGGCTGTTGTCATTATTTTATTTGACAGTCTAAGGGAAAAGAAGTCAGTGCCCTTGACTAAGAATGTAGGGCATTCTTTAAAAATTCTTGTAGCACGTTGGCTGACGCTGTTCTAGAGGCTTGAGCTAAACACTGAGTTCAGGGTACCCTGTCAGGACGTCGGGGTTGATCTGAGGTTGCTCATGACCTGTCTACTTGGTCTAACACCTTAGAATTCATTCCCACACAGATTCTCCAGGTTTCTGTTAGAATAAGTAAGACCTTACTGAGTACTGACTAAGGCATTCCTCGAATAATCAGCAGTTGTTTTAGCGTGCCCTTATTTCCTCCTGGCTCAGACTTTGTGCCCGTTCTCCTTGCTTCTAGTGACGGGCGTGGCGGCAGCGAGGGGCTGTCAGGGTGTGTGTGGCGAACAGGCTCCCTCTCGGGAGGCTACTTAACAGATGAGGTGGTTTATCATTCAGACAGGAAAAGGCTGTTGTCGTCAGACCGGAGGAGAGCCCACTGCTTGGGCGGGAGAGGCCTGTGGATTTGTGAGTGGGAAGATCCTCCGATTTGTTTGCATCTAACCCAAACATCCTCGATCCACACCCCAAGGTCGTCTTCCCAGTTGGCGCCCTAAATGTCACTTAGGAGAGTTGTTGTGGCTGTGGATTCAATGTAAGGCTGTAATTCTGCGACCCCAGCACATATGGGGCCTGATTTTATGCCCTGCAGTTATGAGAAATGACAGATTTTTTAAAACGACTCACATAGATATGTTCTAGTTCTCTGAGCATGCCCTGACCTTAACATTTAAATCCCTGAAGTTGTCTTTTTCTGCGAACAGCCAGCACAGTAAAATGTGGCCGATTGGCTTCACTGTAATTCTGATCATCCTCACACCCTGTAAACGACAAGTGCAGCCTCTACGTGGTCCTGTGAGCCTTGTTTTCAACAGGCACTTCATGCTAAACAACCCAGTCCTGACATGCGGCGTGCCATACGTTACCAGATCTCAATTTCCATGGGCAAGGAGGAAAAATTCAACCCTGCATTCAACCGTGGGGTGGCACGCCAAGCTCGGAGACATATCCCTGCGGGTCTGTTTCCTGGGACCCGCCCAGGAGCCAAGCACCAGGCCGCAGAGTCCACTGCAGGTGTTGCAGGCGGAAGAGATTGAACACAGGGAGCTGTCATGAGGCTGCTCGAAGGGGCGGTGGAGTGAAGAAAGGAAGGCAAGGCTCCCCATAAATGCGGAGCTGCTGCTCGGAAGCTGGCAGCAGCCATGGGGCGGGGACAGGAAAATCACAGCCAGGCCAGAGCCCTGTCCACCAAGGAGGCTGGTCTGGGACCCCTTCTGGCCTCTCCTGGCAGCCCCCTCCCCCGACCCTTTGTCACTGTCACTGTAGCTGGCGCCGCTGCCCCTGCCAGAGATGCTGTGAGCAACCCGAGGCAGCAAGGAGGCCCTGCTCCGTCCCCACCCTCTGTCTCCCAGCTGTGCCTCCCACCGGCAGATGCTCCCAGGAAGTCAGCTGGCAGGACAGGCTCCGGAGTGTGATTTGGGGGCCCGCCTGTGCTTATGCTGCTGCATTACCTTGCAGGGTGCAGGAAGGGAAGGTAGGACACTGAGCCATCAACAGCACAGACAAATGAACAGTGAGAAGATGCTCACAGTTAAATCTATCCCCCCAATCCCAGCCGACAGACTGCAAATACTGAGTCCCTGCTGTGTGCTGGGCACGGGGCTGGGTTCTGGAAATGCATTGGCGAACATGACACGGTCCCTACTGTCCTGGGACTTACGTGGTGGGAAGAAATGAACAACCAATGAACACTTCATCTAAAGGCACTGTAACTGATATCTGATGAAGGGTTTTTATCTGGAACACACCGCAAAACTCCTAAAAATAATAGGCCACCATGGGAAATGTGTAGGCAAAAATCACTGAGCAGGCCCTTCCCAAAAGAGGCCATGCCTGTGGCCAATAAATACAAAGAAGTGCTCTGCTGCATTAGTCATGGACACGCTGCCACAGCGAGACACCACTACGAACCCAGCCGATGGCTAGAAATGAAAAGGCAGCAGCAGGGCTTTGGTGAGGACGTAGGGCAGCTGCTGATGAGACTGGAGATCGGAACGAATACTTGGGAAAACCGTGGGGCAGCGTCTGCAGAATCTAGACTCGATCTGCCCTCGGACCTAGCAGTTTGCTCTTTAGATAAACGACCAAGAGCTTCAGGGTGCACGGTCACCAAAGGACTATTCATGTCCAAGAATATTCATAGAGCTGTATTCATATTAATGAGTTCGCACCTGGAAACAGCCCAAATGGACACAGATAAAGAACAAAACGGATAGAAGGGTGGGTGAGTCGTGGCACATGGAGGCGTTTGAACACAATTCAGTGATCAGACTGCATTTCACAGTGTTGAACAAAAGAGTGCATGTCGTATGATTCCATTCATGTGAAGTCCACGGGTAGACACAACTGATCTGTGATGACAGAAGACAGAATGTCACTTTTGGGAGGGCCGGTGGGGATCCTGCTGGCGTGTTAGAAATGTGCTCTCTTGTTTTGGGTGGGGTTTACACAGGTATATGTACACCTGTATTAAAGTTTATCAAGCGATAAAACGTAAGATTCGTATACCTCACAGTATATATGTTAGTCCTCAAAAAAATTGCAGACAGCAAAAACGAGAGTTTCATGTAAATGTTAAGTGCTCAGAAGAAATTAGAAGTGATGTGATAAGTTGATGGGAGGCTAACAGATCAGAACTGAGACCTGAACGGCGATGAGAAGGAGCCGCTGAATGAACGGGCTGAGGGGCTGCTTTCAGGGAGGGCAGCGGAGCAAAGGCCGGGAGGCAGGGGTAGCTCTGGGCAGGGTGGGGGGCCGGCAGGGACACAGAGCCCGAGGGGCGGCTTTCTGTTCAGAGAGCAGTGGGAAGCCACGAAGGGCGGGAGGTAGGGGGTGCTGGCAGTAGTTTCTGAGCCGTACGGGAGTGCGGGGAGTAAGATAAAAAGAGTGGGACTTCTGATGACTTTTGGTGGCATGGCCAGGCTATCTGGCAGGCGGGGGGAAGGCCGTCAAGGCTGGTTTGGGACATGTTACATCGGAGATGCCCATTAGACACCCACGGAGCTGTCGGTGAGGCCGTGGGCCGCGGCACTGAAGTTCTGGGCCAGACCCAGGCTAGAACACATGCCACGAACACATAGGTGGCATTTCAAGTCTTAGTCACCTGGGAGAACAGAGAGCATGAAGAGGGGACACACAGTATTTAATGACATGAGTTTCTGGGGAAAGAGACATGAGCTGCCAGAGGGTTTGGGTTGAAACTGCTTTAAAGTGCTCCTGGCCTGGCATACGGAGCGCAAAAGTGCCGGCGGCCCAGGGCCGAGTCTCCCGGGCCTGAGCCCCTGGCCCTCGGGGTTGAAGTGCAGATTCCTGGCCACATCCACGACCCCCCCACCCCCCGAACCAGAGTGCCTGCTGCATCTGCATGTTCCAGCTCCCTGGGTGAGTCTTCTGTCCGTGGAGGTGAGAGAGGGAGGGAGGGAGGGAGGGAGAGAAGGAGAGAAGGAGAGAAAGGGAAAGGGAGCAATTTCCTCTCTGCTCCCGAGGGTGGGGCTGCTCCAGAAGTCAGGAAAGCAGTCTGCTCGGGCTGCCGCGTGTGCGTGTGCGTGTGTGTGTGTGTGTGTGTGTGTGTGTGTTGGCATGCCTGGGGGGCGGGCACGGTGTCCCAGGAGGACAGAGTTTGCATTGATGAAAACCCTTCCCAGCCCTTTGATACCTCGCTCCGGTTGCCCTGAAGCTCACCAGCTCAGTCCTCGGTGCGTCCTGCTCGCCGGCCACACGTACCCAGGCCAGGATGGCATTCTCCCTGGCCTTGCGCATGGCGCTGCTGCTCCTCTCCGGGGTCCTTGCCCCTGCGGTGCTCACAGGTAAGGGCGCTCCCCGGGGCCTGCTGCCACGAGCCCCCCGGGGCCAAGGAGCGCCTTGGGCCAGATTCTGGAATGCACAGAGGCAGAGGTCCTTCACAGCAGAGGGGGCGTCGCGGGGCTGGTCAGCCGAGGGCTCCCACGAGACAGATGGCAGGAGTCGGGGACTGGCAGCCACGGGGACGTTAGCTGCCTGGGGACAAGGGGACAACTCCAGCACCCTAAAATCTGAAGCCTTCCAGGGCATGTGGCTGAGGGGCCAAGAGACCCCAGGCCCTGGGACAGAGCCCTGCTGTTGACTTTTCAAACCCTGCATGGTGTCCCCTGCTGGTTTTCTGAAAAGTCTTAAGAGTGAAGCTCCAGGTGCCCTTCCTACATCAGGACAAATTCCAGAGGGCGCCAAGGACGGGCGACTCCTCAGGGGAACGGCCAGGACGCGGGACTGAGGCTCTACACAGAGGCGAAGTGGCGGGGTCCGGGGCCCAGAGAGGGGGGCCCACCAGGCTCGGGGCGGTAGGCTTCCAGGACCTCACCCCAGTGCCGGGCATGGCCATGGGCCCTGAGCGGGGAGAGGCTGGCCCAGGCTGGCCTCGAAGCCTGAAAGAGAAAAGGCACAGGTGGGTCACGGGTGGTCTTTCTCCTGGAAGAGAGCAATCTCTGTTGGCCGTGATGGAGCCAAAGGATCGTGCTTGAGGACCCCCGGGGTGGGGACCCTCCCTGCTTGTAGGCATTGGGGATGGGTCTGTGGGTGGGTGGGGAGGCACCTGGGTAGCAGGGGAGCGAGCTTGGCCTGGGGAGAGAGGCTGCGGGGTGGAGGTGAGGCCTGAGGGGACAGCTACATGCAGGGAAGCTCCAGATGCCCGAGGAAGACGTCAGCAGCCTTGCCTGGCTTCAGGCCCCTCCTGGCTGTTTCTCAGCATCTCTGTGTCCCTCCTTATCTGTAGGACGGTAGGGTGACCGCCGGGGTGCCTCTGCCTCCCCCACGGGGCTGCAGGCCAACCGAGTTAAGACCCCACTTTCAGGATGAGCCAGGCATCGGGCGGTGCTCGGTCAATGTCAGGGGACCGTGTAAACGTCCCAGCTCTGCTGGGTGGCCGTGGGGCAGAAGCACCCCTCACGCAGGCTGGGAAAGTGCCGCTGAGCTCCCTCTGGGTGGGAGAAGTGCCCAGGAATCAGGGGAGTGACCGAGAGTGTGAGGTGGCACCTTCCACGGCCTGGGCCTGGGATGTGACACGCGCAGCCCCCACACCCCACAGCCCCTCAGTGGAACACTTGTCCCGCCCGGCAGGTCCGGGCTGCCCAGGGAGCTCCTGCCCCGTTTCCTGCGCCCTGAGCAGCCAGCTCCCCGGCCCGGGCTGCCAGCCAGAGGCGCTGGGTCACGCTGTGCATACACAGCCTGGGTGGGTGGGCTTCGTCCTCCACCACAGGAATGCTTGGGGGGGGGCAGCCTCGTGTTTGGCGTCACCAGGGATCTCAGCTGGCCTCATCTCTTTCCATGTGTCCGACCAAGAGGGACAGGCCAACTCCTCCTGGAGTCTTTGGGGGTCTGGCTGGCTGTTCTGCTTCCTGCCATCCTGGGAGGTGCGTGCCAGGCCCCGCAGCCCCTGCCCGCTGATCGGTGGGCGGGGGTCCCGCAGCCGGCAGGCCAGGGAGGAGCAGCCCTGTGGCTGCTGTCCAGGCCGGCCTGCTGCCCTCCCCGCTGGCCGCCTGTGGCCGCAGCTACTGGGGCAGGGGGAGCAGGCCGGGCTGAGCAGGCGGGAGGCCAGGGCGGGGATGAAAAGGCCCTTCATGGCCTGTACAAAGGCCGTCTGTGAGCAGGGGCGCCTGGCCTCGGGGCCCTGTGGTCAGAGCAAGCGCTAAACAAACGTATTTACCTAAAGGCAGGGCGGCTGGGGGTGGGGGGAGTGCCCACAGTGCCCAGGCCTGTGTCACAGGGCCCCCAACTCTCCCGCTCCCCTTGTGGCGTCGCAGAGCCCTGTTCACGCCGGTCCTTGGAGCCTGGGTCTCATCACGGGCCCTCTGCCTTCTCCGTCCCCACCTAACGTGACTGCGGCTGACTCACTCACAGTTCGCCTTACGTGCCCGCGGGTTCGTCCCTTGTGCCCGTGCTCTCGGGGGTCCCTCCCCCTGGCTCCGCTTCCCCCTCCACAGACGGGGCCAGTCCAGCCGCTGGCAGTGCCCAATGATGGCCGTGGCGGGGGGGAGGTAGGTCACTGCCTGGAACCCTTGTTTTCCCCTCGTACCACAGCACCCTGAGAAAACGCGGAGACAGCTGGACCGGGCTGAGGGGATGGGTCGGCCCTTCCCTGGCAGCTGCGCCCCTGTGCTGGGGGCTGCCGCTGGGGCACCCCCCTGGGTGGGCAGGGAGCGGGCTGGCCCCGGGGCGCTGGGCCAGCCTGTGGGGGTCGCCCACGAGTCAGCTGCAGCAGGCACACAGCACGCGGGGCGGCCTGGCCTGTGTCTGGCCGGGTGGCTGATGCTGGAGAGCCCGAGGACACGCAGCCCCGATGGTGGCGATGATGGCGTAGTCACTGGTGTGCGCGGCTGTGAGAGGCCTGGTCCAGCTCTGCCTCACAGGCCGGGAAAGGGGGCGGGTCCCCGGGTGAGAGTGCGCCGGAGCCAGGATCGGACCCGGGGCACTGGGTTTGGAAGCCCACGGGCTTAGCCCCTCGCGCCTCAGGGGCTGACCCACTGGTTGGGTGTTGCAGGACAGGCTGGAGGAGGGCACTCTGAGCAGGGACCCGCAGGGAGCAGCCGGGCCTGGAGGGAGCTGCGGAGTGAGGCTGGTCACAGGGCAGAGACGGGGAGAGGGCCTGGGCGCACCACTGGCTGCCCTGCTTGGGGGCCCAGCCTCCCCAGAGGCGGCTCCCGGGCTCTGGCCAAGGACAGAGGGTGGCCAGCTCCAGGGGCTGAGCCCGTGCCCTCCCAAGGGCCATGGGGCCTGTCGCTCGCCGTGTGAGCTCAGGGCTGATTTCCCAGACGCCACCCAGGTCAGCTGGGCCGGGTCCTCAGGAGCCCGCGGCGGCCTCCCTGGCCCTGCGCCCGGCTGTTGGAGGTGAGCTCGGGCCGGCAGTCCTGCGGCAGGGCGGGGAGCTGGTGGGGGCCAGTGGTTTCTCCGTTTGTCTGGGGAGACCCACAGTCTGTGAGGAGGAGGGTGGGCCTCGGGACCTGCCAAGCTGTGGGCACGCTCGGGCCTCTTCTCTGCCCAGCTCCCCGGGAGCCTGAGGTCGGCCTGCCTGGGGCCGGGGCCTTCCCTGGCTGGTGGCTGCAGGCCCTTGCCCTCCCAGGCTGTGGCAGGGGGTGCCTGATGGGGTCACTTTGCTCACCCCACGGGGACAACTTCACATCCACTGGATGAGCCTTGCGCCCCGGGACAGGGAAGTTCTATCATCCCCACCCAGTGGGTGCTGGCGCCTTTGGCTCCCGGAGTCCTCTTGCCAGGGGTGTTTTTGGAAAAGGGGCGCCAGCTCAGGCAAGCCTCGGCTGAGCCTCCAAAGCAGGCCAGCCGCGGCCTGGGAGAGGCCGCAGGGGCAGGGCGGGGGGAGCCGGATCCCTTTTTATTGTGAAAAGATTTTACGTTTACAGAAGAATTGCCAGAATAATCCAACGACCAGTAGGTTCTTCACTTAGATTGACTGGCGTCCACCATTTTGCCATGTGTGCTTTCTCTGTCTTCCTGTCTGTTACCCACCTGCCTGCCTGCTGAGCCACTAGAGTAAGCAGCAGGCGCGCCCGTGGCCCCACCAGGTGCGCAGGAACAGGGGCGTCCTTGCACCCAGCCAGCCGCCTGCCCGCGGCAGGGCGGTAGTGGGCGCCATGCCGCTGCCCGAGCCCCGCTCCCCCAGCAGCCCCTCTGCGCCCATCCAGGGCTCGCGTCGCATCCGGTGGCCACGTGTCCTCGGTGTCTCATCCGGAACAGTTCCTCAGTCTTCTTTGGTCTTTCGTGACCGTGCCCCTTTCAAAAGCCCTTTATGTTAAGACCGCCCCTGAATCTGTGCTGGGCGGGGCTACCTCACGACCTGCACCAGGTGGCACCGGTGGCAGGAAAGCCCTGGAAGGGCCCTTGTCTCTCCCGCGGCCCGCCCCCTGCCGCAGGGGTGCCCTCGGCCCCATGTGGCCTGGGGTGGGCAGGGATCCTGCTCCTGGAGGGGACACTGCTCCGTCTCCCTGGCCTCTTCTCCAGGGCGGACGCTGGCCTGTGTCTGCCCTGCGGGAGCGTCCCTCTCGAGTGTCCCCTCACCCAGGCCTGCAGAGCCCATGGGTTCAGACGGGGGACCCCAGGCTCCGCTGGGAGAGAAGGTGCCGTGTCCCGTGACCCCCTAATCCGCCGCCAGTCCACGGTTCTCACAGCTGTTTTCTCAGACTGTTGGTCCCTTAACACCCCCAGGCTCCCCCCATCCACCTGTCTTCCCTGGGGGCCTGGAGGCAGTGGGGCTCTGGGGGCCCGCGGAGGCCCTCAGCCTCGGTCGCCTCACCTGTGACATGGGAAGGCTGGAACAGTGCTGCGCTCCAGGGGCCCCAAACCCAGCGCTGCCTCCGTGGTGGGGGTGGGGGGACCACCCGAGGGCCTGCAGCCCAGGTCCAGCGCCTGTCCTTGGCCTTGCAGCCGAGGGCCCGCAGGAGCCCGTGCCCACGCTGTGGAACGAGCCCGCCGAGCTGCCCTCTGGAGAAGGCCCCTTGGAGAGCACCAGCCCCGCCCGGGAGCCCGCGGCCACGGGCCCCCCGGGCGGCACTGCGCCGCCGAGCCCCGAGGACAGCACCCCGCGGGAGCATCTGGACCATGGTGGCGGTACGTGGCGGTACACGGCGGGCGGGGCGGGCGGGCAGGCCGGGTGCAGGGGGAACGGGAGGCGGAGGGAAAGGTGGCTTAGACCCTCTCTGACGCGGCCCTCCGTCCTCGCAGGCTCGCTGGGGCCCGGCGCCATCGCGGCCATTGTCATCGCCGCCCTGCTGGCCACCTGCGTGGTGCTGGCACTTGTGGTCGTCGCGCTGAGAAAGTTTTCCGCCTCCTGAAGCGAATAAAGGGGCCGCGCTCCTGCCGGGCGCACCCGGGTCTTGAGTGTGTCCGCGCCTGAATGTGCGGCGAGCGGGGGCGGGAGACACCTCACGACCCGCGCGCGGGTGTGCACGTGGCCCAGGAACGTGCAGGAGCCGTGAGTGTGCAGGGCTGGCCACCCCGCCCCCGCGCCCCCGCACCCCCCCACCCCTACGCCCCTCCTCCCCTCCCCATGTGGCACTGGTGCATCCGGTGCTCAGAGCAGAGGCCAGGCCTGGCCTGGCGCCCTCGGCTCCGCCTCCCCAGGGCACCTCCTGCCTGCCCCTTCCGGGTGGCCATCGCGGAAACCCCTCCACCCCAGGGAGACCCAGGGGCTGGACGAGCCAGGGGTGAAGCCCAGGCGCCGTCAGCTTGGCCCAGTACCCGCCGTCCTAGGTGGCCCGCGAGGCCCGGCTTCACGGCAGCCCCACGCAGGGCAGCTCCATGGATCGTAGCGAGGATGCGAGCGCCGACGGCCCCTCTTCCCTGCACCCCCCCAGCTTGGCCCTGGCTCCCCGGCTTTGATCATGCTCGGTCTTCCACATTTCCCAGGAAGCCTAGCGTTTATAATTCAGAGAGATTTAAATTAGTGGCTGGCTGCTCTGGGCGCAGCAGGAAAGAAGCCAGAACTGTGTCCTGTCCCCGCCCCCCAAGGGCCCTTCCGAGTGAGGAGACCTGGAGGAGACACTGTCTGAAAACACCTTGGGCCCCCAGAGGTCCCTAGAGTGGGCGCTGGGCACAGGGAGCTGCCCCTCCCCCTCCTCTTCCCACTGGTGTCGTTGTCACAGCGCCTGTCTGGCCCCTTTGGGCTCCCTGATCCGCAGGCCACGCCTGTTCTGCAAAGGCGGGTTCTCTCTTGGATACTCCAGTTGAGTGCACGCGGTGCCCACGCACACTCTGCCCAAAGCACATCCTGGGGTACACTTTTCTGCTCATAAAGGACTGTTAAGAACCTGACCAGCTTTCATGGAAATGTTTAAATGACTTCATTTCACATAACCTCCAGTGGCCAAAGCCCTGCTTAGAGCACCTGGTCCAAGACAGCATGGCTCTTTCCCAGCTTCAAAAGGAAGGCCGATAGCAGCCAGGCCTTGCGCACAACCCCACCACTCTGTCCCAAGCACCGCCCCCGCCCCCGCCCCTCTCCCCGCAGCAGCACAGGGCTCAGAAGTACCGCCACCCCCACCTCCTTCAGTCCTGGGGACTCAGGTGTGGCTACGGTCCCAGGGCCAGGGCAGGAGGGCGGGAGGGAGCAGGTACAGCCCGGAGCACCAGTCTGGGTGCCGCAGGTCTGTGCGTCTTGCAGGGTTTGTGCAATTTTCAAAGGACCTTGGGTCTCAAGAATGCCAAGGGTCACGCCGTGGCCTGTGGGAAGGAGCTACGAAGGCCCACTGGATCTAAACCTTGGACTTAACCAGAGGCCTGTCCTGGTGCAGAGGAGAGTGTGTCCTGGCCGATAAAGCAGGTCCTGGGCAGGCGGGCTGGGCGGGGTCAGTCAGGCTCGTCCACCCTCGAGGACAGAACTAGGGTGACGGTGGGCTGGCTGAGGGCTGGGAGAGGGGCTGCACCCCCTCGATAACTGGCCGCTACCTCCGCAGGCCAACGACTGGCCCGGTTGGAGGCCCCAGCCCCGTGCCTGGTAGTCAGCCTCCCTGTGGGGCCCCTGGTTGGAGGCTCCAGCACGTCCCCAGCTCCCCCAGACCCTCTTTTGTTTCTGGAGGCCTCGAACAAGTGGAGGCCTGACCCTGGAGGCGCCCTTCTGCCCCGGAGGCTGCCTGACCCCTCCTTCGAGTACACCTCCTCCACTGCCCCGGGAGGGGCCCCTCTCCCCTGTCTGGAAGCAAACACCTCATTCCTGTGCGCAGCGGGGCAATAAAGAGTAGAACTTCACCTCCTTTATTTTATACATGATGCTTCTTTTAATGCAGCCAAAAATGGTATTTGCTTTTCTTGGAACCATAACCAATACAGGATGCAGTGACCAGTTCATTCCTTACGACACCTGGGCTCCTTCAGGGACCGGAGGACACGTGTTGCCACGGGGCAGGAGCTGGCAGAGGCGGCGGATGCAGCCGGTCTCTCAGTCCTGTAAACTGGGGACCAAGGGCTGCTCATCGAGCCCACTGGGCAAGAGCAGTGAGCCTGGTGGATTCAAACGGCTGCCGGGGGAGAGACGGGCACGTGCAGGGGGTCATGACAATCATCACCTTGCACCTGCCCTCAGCTGGGGGCACACCCCGGGCCCGGGGCCTCTTCCAGTGCCTGGGAAGGCCCCTGGAGCATGCCAGTCCCCGTCCACCCCCTCTAAGAGACAAGAGGGGGAGGTGGAACAATACTGTTTAAAATACACTTTCGCATTTGCAAATGCATCAGAGGAAAGACGTGCGCACCTTTTTTCCAGTTTGCAAGCAAAGGGGCCAAGATGCATGAGCATTCACCATGTGGCAGAGATGAGGGGTGGGGGTGACTCCCGCACAAGGTCACCTGCTCCCGGAGCCCCTCCATGGTCCATGGGTTTGCCTGCCAGGCCCTGCTCTCACCCGCCCACCCCCGGCCGGGCTGGGAGCTGGCGGTCATTGCCGGTTCCGGCTGCCCAGCTTCCTGCGGTCCTTATTCTGACTGCGCTGAGGGTCCTCCATCTTGTGCACCCGGAAACATTCCTTGAGGTTCTGGGATCGGATTTTGGGATTCAAGATCTCCTCGGTCATGTTGCTGGGGAACCAGCCTCTCTCCTGGTCATGCAGGCGCTCGCCGAAGATCCACCCTGCGAAGGGAAGGGCCAGGCGGGTCAGGCGCTCCCTCAGGGGCCTGGCTGAGCCTTCCCCCGGCACAGCGGTGGAGGACACAGGAGGCCAGGGGGCCTGTCCAGAGGTGCGTGCTCCGAAAACCCCCACTGGAGCCCCCCAGACGGGTCCGCCCCCGACATGTAGAGAAGGCACCGCCCCGACACCTTCCTAGGGAGCAGCGCGTGCGCGTGCACGTGGCTGTGACGTAACCAGCTACGCTCCGCGGTGCATCCCAAGTCTATTGACTTTGGAACTCGCTCCCAGGCCCTCAGTAATCCTGGGCTGTCCCGCATGGAAGTCGGGAGACCCTGAGGGCCGCCCCAAAAGCAAGAGGCACCCAAGCAGCCAGTGGAGATGGGGGTGGTGGCCGATAGGTAGTTACCGGGCCCAAAAGGTCACATCGCCCTCTTGTCGGGCACCCCGCTCCGAGCCTCTCAGTCTCCCGAGGGGGAGGCGGTCCGCACAGTGCCCTGGCTCTCCCTGCCTCCCCTAGAGATCACCCTGCAGTGCGGGGTCCATGGGCAGGACCCAGGGCACACTCTGCGGGCCACGTGGGAGGGGCATGGGGCTGCTTTATCCTGCGGGGGTTGGCAGAGGTCCGGACCCTGCTCTTCCAAGGCCCGGCGAGCCCCTGGAGATTGGAACCAGCCGAAATGGCCTCCCTCGGAGGTCACCAGCCTGAGGCCTTCCAGCCAGGACCTCAAAGAGGAGGGAGAACTGGGAGGGGAGGCGCTCCGTGTGGTTTGGGGGATTCTGTTGTAAAAACAAGGGATTGTGTTCGGGGGAATGGCTGTGACCCTCACTTGGCACCGATGCCTGAACGGGTGGTGGGAGCTGGGTGGGTGGCTTCTTGGCCCACACGGGGCACCTGGAAGCTTGTTGCAAATACAGGGTCTGGCGTCAAGGTAAGGGTCAGGGTGAGGGTTCCTGGCTGCCCTTCCTCCCACCCTGATGGGTGGGCCAAGCCCAGGGCCGTCCGAGGGGACAGCACAGGGCCAGGGGCTGGGGCTGGGCCCGGCTTGAAGGCAGCAACAGCCCTCGCAGGGCCGGGGAGGGCAGGGGCCCTGGGAGAAGCGGGGGGAGCGGGGACGTGCCAGGGCCTGCCCGGCAGAGCCGGCCTCTCCCCCGGGGGCCGGGCCTCCCCGCGCATCCTCAGGCTGGTGGTGGCCGGGGCAGAGTCCTGGGGGCACCCGTGGACGACGCGCCCCGCCCCTGCCGTACCGTCTTCCGTCTTGTCCAGGATGTTAAGGATGTCGGCCAGCTCCAGCGTCAGCTCGTCCGGCTGCTGGGCCACGTACGGGTGCACACACTGGACCTGGGGGCAGTCTGGAGGGACGGGAGGGAGGGGGCACGTCCTCATCACCGTGTCACCGCGCCACCGCCGTGCCCCCTACCCAGCAAACCCTGGGTGCTGCCTGTCCTACAGCAACTGAAAGGGAGTCCTTTGAGGGAGGGGGCTCGGCTCCAGAGAAAATAAGGTTGAGGAGCCGGGGACCCGGAGAAAACACGACATGCGTAAAGAGAGGAACAGGCAGAGAGGGCTCTTATTAGGGCTTCAGAAGTAACTTCCTGAGCCTGCATGAGGCCCCGGAGCAAGGGTGGGAGGCCCGGACGCGGTGTCACCTCAGACCCAGGGGCTCATTCCATCAGTAACCACCAGAACGCTGGCCAAGCTCAGCGCACCAATGTCCTCCTCGGGCACTAGGCTAGCAACTGGCACCTGGGCCGCCCGGCCGTCGAGGCGGGCACCCTGCAGGCCGTGCAGGCCTCTGGAGAGACGGGCTCGAGAAGCGCCTGAGGCTGACGCCACGGAGGCCTCACATGTCCTGCCCAGAGGCGTCCTTGTCCCAGAGGGCCACTTACCCAGCAGCCGGGACGTGAAGGAGACAAACTTCGTTCTCCGGTTGGGGGCCAGTGAGGTCATCCAGCGCTTCATCTCGCTCCTGGGACGGGGAAGAGGACAGATGCCCCAACCGCAGAGCCACGTCCCCAAGCCGGCTACTCTGCCCCGGCCCCGGCAGGGCGGGGCGCCCAGAACTCAGCCGGCGGGCTGGGGAGCCCTGAGGAATCTCCCCGGCGCACTTTAACGAGTCCCTCCTGAAGGCGAGCTCCCCGCGAGGCCCCGCAGTTACCGCCAAAGAGGCTCGCAGGGGCCCACTGTTCAGAGGGCACAATCTGTCAGGGGTGTCAGCTGGGGAGGCCGGGGACAGGGCCTGTGACTCTGGGGGTGGGAGGGTGTCTCCCCCCACTGATCTTGGCTGCAGGACGGGGGGCCTGGCTGCTCAGAGCGGTACCTAGATGGCGGCTCACTGGTCCGCCAGGTCCTCGGGCCCTAAATAGCTCGGGGGAGGAGGACCCACCCAGCGTCTGAGGACCTGAGGGGACACACGTGTGTACACACACACACACACACACACACACACACACAGCCACCTGCTACACCCTGACCCCAACCCTGGAGAAGAACCCTCCCCCAGGTCTGGCTGCAGGAAGGACAGGTGCTGGGCGGCCTGGGAAGGTGGCTGGAGCGGGGCGCAGCGCGGGCACTCACTGGGAGGACGCCTTCAGCATGTAGGTGGCTTCCCGGTCGTCGGAGTTCTCAAGCAGCCGCAGGATGAACACGTTGGCCAGCGTCTGGCCCTGGTCCTCCAGCTCCTCCACGCGGAGCAGGCCCCGCGGGGCCGAGTCGAACACCTGGTACTTGTCTCTGGGGACCGCGGGTGGCAGGGGGCGGGGGCATGTCGGTCCTGAGGAAGCCCGGGGGTCCCAGGGGACTCCGCGCCCTGGCCGGCCAGCAGGACCGGCCCCGCCACGGCCGCTCCTGGGACACCCCTCACCCCCCAACCCTGAGGCCGCCCCTCCCACGGTGTGGCCAGCGGGCCAGGCTTCAGCAGCCGCTCCGCTGAGTGCTCACTATGTGCCGGGTGCTGAGCTGGCCCCTCCGTATCCCTGTTAAAGCCCCACTGGACGGGAGGGGAAACTGAGCCCGGGAGCTAAGTAAACTTGTCCAAAGGCCCACGGCCGCACAAGATCGGAGTTGACCTTAAACCTGACCGAAAGCCTGCGCTGCACCCAGCCATCCCGCCAGCCTCCCGCTCCCCCGGCCCGGGGGGCCTGGCTCCCCAGGTGCCCTCCCCAGGCAGCACCCCGAGCTGCACGCCCACCCCCAGAGCTCACCCCGGGATCTGCCGGCAAATCACCAGCAGGTCGTTGAAGAGGAAGAGGTAAATTTCCTGGAAGAGTTTCTTGGTCCGCAGGGTGCGGGAGGTCTTGGGCCCCGACATCTGCTGCAGCTCGCCCTGCTTCAGCAGCCAGCGGGAGTGCGAGATGATGGGCACCGACTGCACGGGGGGCGGGGGGCGGGGCGGCGTCAGATCTGTGCCCTGCGCAGCTCCTGAGGCTCCCGGGGCCCTCGCTGGGGTCGCGAGCGGCAGGCACGGTGCGCGAGGGCAGCCCGGGGCCCCGGACACGCACAGTGCTGGGGGGAGGGGGGAGTCCTGGGGGGCCAGGGGACGAGTGTGCGTGTGCGCGTGCCTGCGTGTGCAGTTGTGGAGCACCTGTTGTGCATGAATCCGTGTGTGCTTCTGTGTGTACGTGTTTGTGTCTAAGTGTGTCCATGTGCATAGCATGTGTCTGTACACGTGTAACTGTGTGTCCATGTGGGCACCTCTGCATGTGTGTCTGCATCTCTGTGCGAGGCAGAGTCGGGGGCAGGGGCCGGGCGGGGTCCCAGGGAGCAGAGGAGCAGGCTGCTGCCCGCAGAGGTCAGCCTGGCAGGCAGGGCTGCCTGGGGGGCTCACAGCCGTGTCTGCACCCACGACTGGGGCTCAGCTCCCACCCCCGGCATGGCCTCAGGGACCTCTGGTGGGGGTGATGTGTCCACAGGTCCAGGCCACCAGAAACTCAGGTTCTTAGGCTCCCTGATGCCGGAAGCTTTACGTAAAGCTGGGGAGAAGGTCAGTAAATTGTCGTGTAAACTCGCCGCCTCTCGGAAGGCAGTCCAGGCCAAGGTGACGGTCTGGCTACTGCGGGGCTGGGGGTGCCCTCCAGCGAGGGGTCAGGGACGGTCCCCCGGGAGTGATGCTGCACCGAGACCCAAGGGGGCCTGGCCGGTGACCGACGCTCCAGGCCACCGGGTTGGGTTGGGGACACGCAGACGGACGCGGGCTCACCTTGATCTTAAACTCCATCTTCTTCTGAATGCTGATCATCTGCTCCGTGCGGCTCATTTTCCTGACGCCCTCGTTGCAAGCTTTCACCACCTGGGATTGAAAGGAGGGCGCATCAGGCCACCTGCAGCCTGCTGCCCCCGGTCACTTCCTCCCGCTCACTCAGGCCCCAGAGGGCTGAGCCATCGCTGTGACCAGACGCTGTGCCCACAGCTGAGACGGACCAGCTGCCTTGTTTGGCCTGGAGCTCCCTTCTCCAGCAGCTTCTGGAACGAAGGCTAAATGGGAAGACTTGTCAGGTGGTTAGGAAGCAGATTCAAACAATGAGATGTCCTCAATCACCCCCCAGACTGGAAAAGGTAGGCTGGAAAGCCTCCAGCTTGGCGAGGTGCAGGGATCGAGCCCTGCCATGCGCTGAGGGGGCATGAGGGTCCCCCCAACTTCCTGGGAGGCAGCCCAGACACCAAGAGGCCTAACAACAGCGCATCCCCTGGGACTTCTGGAAACTCGTTATGAAGAACCGATATTCTGCACCAGGTCACAGGGGTCCAGAACAGAGTCCGGTGGCACCCAGCGGGCACCCAGGATTTGTGCAGGAGGACGGTGCCCCAAGATGCGTGGACCAGGATGGTCCCTGCAGCAGAACGAGAAAAACTGTCATCGACCTAAGTGTCCATCAGCTGGGGTTGATTAGCACTACTAGATCCATGTAACCAAGCCGCCTGAAATCATTGAAAATCGTATCGACTTTACATGCACTAAAGTGGCGCACAGAGCCAGTTACAAGCCGCCATCCCTTTTGCAGGGAACGCGGCTGTGCACGCACGCGCACATCGGTCTGGGAGGGGCCTGGTGGGGGAGCGCCAGCTCGTGCCGGGGGTTGGGGCCTAGTGTGGCCTCCACCTCCTTCTGGCTTATGGGCAGTGCCTGGAATTCTTTCCATTGAGCGACAATTGCTTTTACAAATTAGGGGAGAAAAAAAGCCTTTGTAAAAAAAAGGAATCCATGAGAAATAGGAGTCTACCTTTCATCACAAGGACAAGGAAGGGCGAGGACAGCAGAAAAGACCTGAAGCCACAGGAAACGCTGTGTGACTGCAGGGGGACCCCTCGGCGCACGTGGGCCTCTCCCAGGCCTCGGCGGTCCCTGGACTCCCCTTCTGTGATGCAGCGTGGTCAGCTGCCCAGGGACGGCTGTAATAAACTCCCTCCCGACCAGGCATGGAAGTTCTAGGGGTGAGCGGAGGGCCCTGAAAGGTGCTGCTTGGCCGGCCCGACCCGCCCGCTGAAGGCTGAGGCCTCTGCCCCAGGAGCCCGGCGGGGGGGCGCTGTTTCCCACAACAAGTGAAGGGTGTGCCGGCCAGCTGGTCCGAGTAGGGGACAGGAGGAGAGGCCCGGGGAAAACCACTGCATTAAGTTCAGAAGCCCCGGTGACTCAGTGTGGGTTAGAGCCACCATCCGACACCCGTGGAGGCTCGTCCTTCCACTGAGCGGCTGGCTCTGGGACAAGGAGTGGAAAGGACTTCCCAGCACCCACGCTCGTCCTCTGTGGGGTCACTAGCATGCCAGTGTGCCCTCCCCACCCCGCACAGCTGCCAAGAAATGGCTCACAGCTGCAGCCCACACATGAGACAGCGCTTTAGACCGGAAGGAGCCACGTGAGCCCCGCACGGGAGAAAGGACACATTCGTTGACCCCTCCCGTGTGACCTCGACCCTGCGGGCAACTTCCGGGGATCAGGAGCAGAGAGCCGGCTCCCTGCCCTCCCCAACCCCCCCGACCCTTGCCCCGGGCAGGAAGAGCCCAGCGCTTGGCGAGACCCTGGAGTTGTCTCACAGAGACTGGGCAGCTGCAGCTCGAGTGCGGGGGCAGGGGCTCAGGGCAGAGCCCCACCAGGCTCGGGAGAGCGAGACCAGCCCCTGGCAGTCACGGGAGTGAAGACACGGGAAACAGGCAAGGGCACGGAGGGGCCTCCGAGGGCCCCAGACGCCTGCAGGAGGCAGGTGATGAGACAGGCCGGGCCTGCGGGGGGTGGCAGAGGTCAACAGGGGAGGGGGGCCGGGCGGCTGCCTGGTCCACCCCGCAGATCACACACCGGCGGCCGTCTGTCGGGGTGGAGAAGGGAGGCCCGCCGCTCTGCTCCGGCCCCGCCTGACCTACCGCTAGACCAGTGCCTTCCCTGGATGGCAAAAGCAAACACTAAAGTTAATTTGTATTTTCCAAATACACGCCCGCCTGCAAGGGAGCAGGACCAGGAAGGTAGGTCTTTACGAGGGGACTGTAGACCAGGGGACAGCTTATAGGGAACCGCGGAGGGAGGAAGCCCGCTCACCAGTTCCAGCTCCCGGTGGGCGTCCAAGGCGGTGCACTCCCGCTCGGACCTCTCCTCCACTCTCTTCAGGATGTTCTGGGCACAGGGAGAGCCTGCGTTAGTGTCCGTGGTGGCCGTCCCGCCTCCTCCGCTCCCCCCTCCTCGCCCTGGCCGCCCAGGCAGCCTCTCGCTGCTGCGACACATCCACGCACGGCCCTACCAGGTGACAACAGAGGCTAGGAGAACCCTCAGCCAGGCCCGGGGCGCAGCATCCTGACCCAGAGCCTTGCCCAGCTCTGAGCTGGTGACCCCGAGTCGGTCCCCATGAGGATGAACCCTGAGGGCCAACCCAGAGCCTGACACCTCTCTGCACAATGGACATTGAAGCCGAGGGGTGAGCAGGTGCTGGTGCGGGGGCCGGGGGGGCGGGTCCAGCGACCAGGGACCAGAGCGGATGGAGCTCAGCGCTCAGGGTGGCGCCAGGGGCTTCCCGTCCCATCCTCTGCGATTGTCCTTTGAAACCAAGTTGCAAGAACCCCAAAACTTTGTTAACTTTGGTCTTATGGATCAAAATGTCTTTTTCCTAACTGTTAAATTTTCTAGATTATCAAACAGTGATGCTCACGTTACCTTCAGCTACGGATTACAACGTCTGCCTTGCCCCCCACCCTCTGCCTGCTTGCTGCCTCCTGGCCCTCACTGTGCCCGTGTCTTTTTTGTAATCCTCCCCCAGAGACATTTTCCTTTTCGCTGCTTTTTAGAGAGCGAAGAAGGGAGAGAGAGAGAAACATTGATCGGTTGTCTCCATCGATTGGTTGCCTCCCTCCCGCATACGCGTCTGGACCTGGGAACGTACTTGCCTGGACCGGGGATCTGACCCGCAACCCCGGGCGTGTGCGCCCACCGGGAATCGAAGCCACAACCTCTAGGTGGCAGGACGATGCTCCAACCAGCTGAGCCACATGGGCCAGGGCTGTGCCAGTACTTTCTCATTGGCTCTGTCCCCTAAGGAGGTGTGGGTGCGTCTGAGCCCACCCTCCCCACCAGCGGCCCGTGCAGTGGCTGCCTGAACACCACAGTGACCGCTGGGCGCCCTGCGGACAGCGGATGGTGGCGTGCCTCTGCTGTCTTCCCCCGGTGCTCAGCCTCTCCCCCAAGGCCAGACCAGCCCTAGGTCCCTGCCGCCCTGACGTGTCTCAGCTGCACGGCCCTGCCGGCCTCCACCCGCGGCAAGGCAGAGGCTGTGGTCCTCCCAGATGCCGCCCCGGCCCCCGCAACGCGGGGCCGCCAAACCTTGTCATGAATGGGCCCCTGTGCCCAAACGAACTTGGTTCAGGCTCCACCTTTTCTCACCAGAATAAAACTCCCAGCCGACCAGCTCCTGCTCGGGCCGCCAGCGGAGGGCGACGCCGCTTCCTCAGCCGGGCACACGCGGCCTGCGCACTGGCCTCCCCTCTGGTCCTCCTGGGGCAAGGAGTGTCCCGGTGCTGGGTCTCGGGACGCCTCCCTGTCCTTCCTTGGTGGTCTCACTATTGGACGGCATCTCAGGGCAGACCGCCCCGGCCCCTGCTTCTCCCTTTGACTCTAAACTCGGATGTTCAACTGCTCAGTTGCCTCAGACTCGGCCGGTTCAACACCGGCCCTGGGCTGCTCCCCGCGCTGTCCTCCCCACCCCAGGAAGCTGCTCACACCAGAAGGTTCTCTTCCTTCTCCCTCCACGGTAGCCAGTGCGAGGCTCAGCTCACCAGTCTCTTCCAGGGTCCCCTCCATCCTCTGTACCATCTTACTTTCTTGAGTCACTTCCTGGCCTTTTCTCCCATTCACCTGCTTGCCTTCCTGCCCAGTGCTCCCCACACGGTGCCCTCTGTGCGCTACAGAGGGCAGCCAGCTCCGGCGGGTCCCTGTCACCCCGAGGACAAGGCTCCACGTCCTACCTGGCCCCGCCGGGCCGCGCCGAGCCTCTGCCCACATCTGCACTCGCACCCGGCACGCCCCGCGGCTCATCACAGGCCTTCCCGTCTGCGCGCCTGGCGCCCCAGGGCCTTTGCATGGTCTGTTCTGCCACCTGAATGTCACCTGCCTGTCAGCCAAGTCTCAGCTTACATGCCACTCATCGGAGACTCTTTCTGGACCTCCCAACAGGCAGTGGCCGGGAAAGCGCCCCAATTACGTGACCCGGCTCCGCCGTCCTCACAGCCATGACCGCTTCCCGGCTGTGTGTGTGCTGACCTCTCCCCGGCCAAGGATGCGCGTCCTTGGGAGAAGGGAGTCCCCCGCTGCTTGGCACCCAGTAGGGGCTTATCTACGATTCGTAGGACAGACAAACCTGAGGAATTTTTCCTCGAAAGCTGGTGGGGACCCGGATGCCACAAGCGCAGTCCGCCTGTTGGGGCGAGGCGGGGAGGCCGTACCTGGACCAACAGCTTGAGGCGCGTGATCCTCTGGAAAGGCAGGATGAGGAAGGAGGAGAGGGGCAGCCCCCGGCACTTGGGGTCGAGCTCCAGCTGCGCGATCAGTTCTCGAAAGGCTGCCTTGTCCTGCCTGGGGACACAGACACGGCGTAGGCCTCTGGCTCACAGGAGGCGCACGTCGGCGGCGCTTCCCCCTACCCACAGCCTCGCAAGAACCAGATAGCCCATGGGCACGGGACACGTGTCCACTTGTTTATTTTAATGGACAATAAACTGTTCAATAGCGGCTTCACGGGCCGGTCTCTAGAGACTTAGCCACATGTGCTGTGTGGGGGAGGTCAGGCAGGCCTCACATGGCTGAGTCCGTGAATCAGACACACAGCCAGGTGGTGTCCCTGGCAGGAGCCTGAGGGAGAGTCAACCCACGGAGGGACAGGAGCGAGTGGAGGCTGGGGACAACCCCCAGGAAGCTGCGCTCTCCCTGCCAGGTGGGGCACCGCGTCTGCAGGCGGGCTGGCCAGGGGCTGGGCTGCAGCTGCCAGGGCTCGGTGAAGGTGCCGTGGCTTGGGACGCAGGCCTGGCATCCGTGGGGACGCGGGCCCTCTGCCTCACCCCTGGCCCCAGACAGCCTGCCCTCGCGGCCACACCAGTGTGCCCGCGGGCGCCGTGATGTCTCGATTCCTGTTCTCCTCTGCGCTCACCTTCTCGACGTCTGTCCTCAAACCGGCTTCCTGGTTCCCTCCAACCCCCATGCCAAACCCCAAATGCAGAAGACAGCCCCCACCACCTTACTCAAGCTTTAAAACATCACAGTGGATGACGTGGTTTGATGGAAAGGCCCAGCGAATCAGTGTGACGGTCACATGCCAGTGCGTGGAAGGTTCTCACACGCTCCCCTGTCCGACCGTGAACATGTCACGGGTGGCACTGTTGTCGCGACCGGCATAGAAATGCAAAGGGGCCCACGGAGGCAAATTGACTGAAAACTCATCCCAGCAACTAAAATCCCAGGAAAGTTTACTAAATGGGCAGACTAGCAAGAAATTCAAAGGTGTTGCTGGGCAACCACCGAAAAGACTCCCTCCCGCCCAGCCTTGCTTTGTTGCGGGTTCAAACCACTTTCCTGCCTCGAGCGGTCCTCTTGGCCTCACACCCCCTTTTCTAGCCCGTGCAGAGCTCTGCGCCGCTGCGCGGCTGCGCGGCTGTTCTGGACACAGGGGCGTCTCGGGATCAGTGTCTCCCCAGTGCCGCGATCGCCCTGCAGCAAGGACCCTGGCTCGGGGTCTGCAGGACGAGGTGCCCCGCGGCCTGGCGCACTCACAGCAGCTGCTTGTAGGTCCGCTCCTGGTAGGTCTGGTTGCTGACGTAGGTGATGTAGACGGAGAAGTGGTTGGCCGCGTAGTGGTGCACGATGTCACACACGTCTGAGATGACGATGTTCTCTTCCATCCGGCGCTCCAGCTCCAGGAGGAACCTGCAGGAGGCGGCAGCCGGGTGTAAGGGAGCCCGGGGAGGGGGCGAGGCCTCAAGACACGGCACCCCCAGTGGGTGTCCCTGGAAGAGGCCGACAGACGCCACAGGACGGGAACCCTGGTGTATTTGATCACATCAAGGAATTCTTGTTCAGTTTTTTAGGTGGAAACAGCAGTAGGACTACTTTTCAAAGCAAGAGAGAGGCCTTATCTTCTAGATACACAGGGATGGGTTTGCAGATAAAATGGAATGACGAAAAGGATTTGTGGATCTGTGGGTTTCGGGAGGCGGGTGGGGACCAGGCTGGACCCAGGCACTGCCGCGTGGGCCCGCTGCACGGCTGCCTCTAGTCTGCGAGTTTGGGATGCTCCCTGATAAAACATAGATGAACGCTTAAATAGAGGGACCCGCCCCCGCTTCCAGAGAGGGTGAAGCAGCCGAGGCTGAGGGGGTCTCAGGGGTTCTCAGCCTCCCGAGCCCAAAGTGGACAGAGAGGCGAGGTGTCAGCGGCGGTGGGGGGTGGCGCGGCGGCATGGGACCCACGCGGGGCGTCCAGGAGAGCCAGCAGCTCTTCCACACTTGGCTTCGCCTCGGAACCCGCAGGGCTGGAGCAGAGGCTCCGAAAGCTGAGGCTGGCACTGTTAGGGCAAAATGGAGCTTTTGCCCTAACACTATGGTCCGAGCTCATTTCTTCTTCACAAGAATCAGCGAAGAGATGCCTGGTCCTCCTCCACTAAGCGTCCCCCTTCCTCCCATGGGCTCAAACAGAAGCACCGTCCCAGCTGGAGGAGGGAAGGCACGCATTCCGGGCTGGGCTCTGCCCGGGCCCTCAGGGTCCGGGGCTCTGCACGCCCCCCGCCAGGGCTTTAGGGGTAAGAACAGCTTAGGCGGACGCCCCGGACCTGCGCCGACACCAGCTGCACGCTTGCCTGCCTGGGCGGGACACACGGACAGTCGTGCTCACAGGGAGGGACCCGCGGCCACAGTCCTGTCCTGGGGGTGTGGCTGGCAGCCCTGCCAGGAGGGAGGCGGGTCTTTGGGTTTACGTGTTTATTCCTATCTCGTCATAGAACATTCCCAACCCACAGAAGTAGAGAAGCCCGTGTCACGAGCACTGGGCACCTGCTGCAGCCGCGCCCCCCGCGAGATGGGGCGCACGTGCCCCGCGGGTCGCGGGCCGGGGCGGGGCTCACCGCTCGCTGACGGCCATCACGTCCAGGACGTTGGAGAAGAGGATGTGGGCCTCGGCCGGGTGCAGGATCTTCTTCAGCCGCTCGTTCTCCATGAAGTGGGACACCAGCAGGCTCAGGCTCTTGTAGTAGGAGGCCTCAGAGGTGACCAGCTCGAACATGGCCTGCGCCGGGACCGGCAGAGGGACAAGAGGAGACAGTGGTGGCCCTTGCGGACTCGGCCCCTGCGGACTCGGCCCCCGAGGGTGCCCACCGGCTCGCAGACAGACGCCAAGAGGCTGCGCGAGGGCCTTCCAGGTAGTAAAAGAAAAGCGAGTGCGGACCAGCGGGCGTGAGGAGGGGACGGGACGGCTACCCTCTGCGGGGAAGGCCCAGTGGCTGCGCCCTTTGTGAGGACACTCTCGTGGCTTCTGGTTGTGAAAACCGGAGCCACCTGAGCGTCCCAAATACGAAACTGGTGTCAGCGCCAGAGGCCAGCCACACCGCGGAGCCTGGCGGCTGCTAAGGGTCACAGGCTTGGCTCCTGGTGCGGGAAGTCAGTGCTAGAGGGGCTCACGCTTGTTCCCCATCGGTGTCCAGACAAGCAAAGGCCATCGTGCCAACTGCAGCTGTGAGCAGGGAAGGGAAGGGAAGGGCCAGACAGGGAAGGGAGGGGGAAGGTGGGAGCCATGGGCGTGAGCTCCAAGCACCGGGCCCTGTCTCATTCAATCCTCACGGGTCCCCAGAAGGACAGAGGAAGCTGCTGTTTTACCAGGAGGAGACAGTGTGCAGAGGTTAAGTAGCGCCCGGGGGTGACCGCTGGCCGGCGGAAGGGTGGGGATTCACCCAGGGCTCCCTGAGTCTGGGCTTTGCCCTGCCGCCCCTGTGTGGGAGACCCGCAGACAGGGGCCGGCCGCGTGGCGTCTGCGGGCGGCCTGCCAGCAGCCACTCCGGCGTCCAAGCAAAGCCGGCTGACCAGGCGAGATCCTCTAGGGCAAGTGACGTCTTGGTAAGTGGGGGCACTTAACAGCATGAATGGACTAGCAACAGTGAGACAGTCCGGGGTGGCCGCCAATCACAGGCCATGGGCCGCCAGCAGCAGCCAGAGCCACCTCCTCCCCCGCCCCCAGGTCCTCGGTGTCTGCAGCTGCCACAAGACAGGGAGATGAGGCACCAGTTGGGCTCTGGCCTCTCTGTGATGGCCCGCAGGTCACGGCTGCTTGGCCTCCTGACAGCCCTGAAGCCACGGATGGCACCGCACGCTGGCCGCTGGTATGGCAGAGCTGCGGCCCCAGCACAGAGCGCGGGCCCCCCAGGCCCCCGGCTCTGCCGGCGTCCACCCCAGTGTCCCGCCTGCCCCACGCCTCCCTCCCACAAGCCCTCCTGGCAGGCCTGAGGCTGTGACGGGCAGCAGGCTCCCTGGAAGCTTCTCTGTGACTGATGTGGAAATGGAGTCACTTTCCTGCTGCTAAATTTAAGTTTCTTAAGAGAATGTCAAGGCATTACAGCTCATAAGTTCTAAGCAAACAAAACAATAAACAACAACCACTGCAAAGCCGATCCGGACGAGTGTTAGAGGAGAGGGTCCAACTCCAGGCCCCAGACGCAGCGCCAGAGGGGGTGATGCATGGCCCCCTGGGCCGATGGCGCCTTTGTCCTGATCTATGGAGGACAGGGAGTCGGGGGCAGTGGGCGGAGCAAATGGCCTTCCAGCGCCGACAGGCAGCGGGGTGGGGCCCGCATCTCGGCCAATCGGAGCCGGCTGAGCCCCATTCGCCACCACACTCACCTCCTCTTTCTCTGTTTATCGGCGGTTAGTCATCTGGAATTTTAGTTTTCCAGGCTGTTTGTCTTCATTTTAATGTCACATTATTTGCCACATCAAGAAGGTTGCCTTTTTCTTATCAGTATTATTTTGACTCTTAGTCATTTAAGCCTTTGCGTGGCGATGTGAAGCTGGCAGGGTCCCAGGCCCTCCTTCCTTCCTTCCTTCCTTCCTTCTTTCCCTCACTCGCTCACTGCGCATCTGTTCGTTCCACAAGCATTTGCTGGGTGCTGCTGGGCTAGGCACGGGCGCCAGCGGTGAACACGGCCAACTCCCCGCGGCCCCCGAAGCTGACTACCCCGGGGAGTGGGGACAGGGCAGGTAGGGGGACCTTGCACTAGGGCAGGTGGAGAGACGCGGTGGAGCCGAGGGGAAGAGGTGTGTGAGTGTGTGACTTATTGTAGGGACGCAGCGCCTGCACCCCATCCCGTGGGGCCCTCTGTCTGCACGGCAGGCTCACCCGGCGGCTGGGCTCACACAGGATGGGGCCCCGGGGAGCCCTCAGTCAGCCTGACCGGATTTTAAGAATGGCGGCTTGGTTTCCCAGGGCACCCCTAGCGCTCGACCGTTCCCTTGGATAGCTGCCCATAATCACGTCGCACGTGGCATTTTCCACCCCTGCGACCGCCAAGCCCACTCCCACGTGGGTTCCTGGCGAAGGGTGAGGCCCTCGGTGTTCAAGGGTCACAGGTGAACTCTGGCCGTTTCTTCAGCGGGGTCAGCCCGGGTGGTGGGAGGCCGGCGAGGCCTGCGACGGGCTGGACGTCCGCCACAGGCCGCAGAGCTGCAGAGAGCCCAAGGCCTGGCCTTGGAGTTAGCCAGGCCTCTGCCGTGGGGGAGAACTGCTTCACCCCTGAGCCTCAGTTTCCCTACGTGCAAAATGGGAACGGTCCCCAGCAGGAAGCGCCCAGCCAGGAGCCAGCTCTTCTCAAAGCACTTGCTGACGCGCGGGCTCATCAGCGATCTGACCTCTGGGCACTGCCTTCACAGGACCACGCTTCCTGGAGGTGCTCTGGCCAGAGAGGTCTGAAGGGCCTGTCCCGGGAGGTGACGCTGGGGCTGCGTCCCTCACGCCAACAAGGACGCCGCTTCCAGGAGGAGGTGGCGGGCGAGGACAGCGGGGCCGACCCCAGGTCCCTGGAGGGCAGGAGGGGAACCACATGCTGCGGTTCCACGTCGGGCCCACCCCCTCGGACGGTCGGTCATGTGGGCCAGGACCCGCAACCCTGTTCTCACGAGGCAGTGGCGGGCAGCTGCCCCGGAAGTGACCGCACAGCTGCCCGGCCGGCCTGTGGACCAGAAGCCAGGTCCAGCCGCCCATGGGCCTCCCCCGCCGCACATGTGAGGCACCAGAACATATTTTCCTCAGTACATTTAGATTTTTCCTCCAAGTGAGGAAACAACACATCAGAGAAATAAGTCACTGGCGGCCCAGCTGGGACCGTCGTAGAGTCTCAGAGGAGCTGCGGGTCTGGCTTCAGCTGGCAAGCGTCTCCTGTTCCCAGGGGGTCCAGGCCTCCGAGAAGGCAGACCCCAGCCGGCACCGCGCTGGCTGCCTGCACGGGAGACGCCCCGCAGACGTGCAGAGCCAGGACGCCCCAGTGCAGTGCAGGCCCCGGGGGTCAGCGACCTCGGGTGGCCTTGGGACTGGAGTGGCCCAGAGCTGGGCCCAGCTGGATGCCCCTCGGGGCCGTGCCTTTGAAGAAACAGTGGGGACCTGACCTACCAGCAAGGGGCTGGAAGAGGAAGCAGAGACACCAAGAGCAGCGTGGAGGAAAACACCTTGCTTCTGATCAAGGACAGCCGAAAGCCAGCCCTGAGACAGCATGGGGGCTTCAGGGCTCGGTTCCCTGACCCGCAGTGGCCCTGACCTGACGCAGTTCAGCTTGCGTTGTGATTCGCCATGTGACACGAGTCCTCGCCGTCCGGCCAGGCGCGCACGCCTCTCCCCGCCGCCTCACCCCGCTGGTACCGGCCAGCCCTCCCTCCTTCCAGCCTCAGCGGAGCTCAGCGCCAGACAGCCCCCCGGCCTCCTCCGCGCAGTTCCGGGCTCTCTGGGCCCCCACACAGTGCCCTCCGCCTGGTGTGCTTTGTTCCCACTCCCGACCTTGGTGTGAATGAATGACAGGGCCTCTGACGCCGCCCCCACCCCGCCCCGGTCCGGTGCGGTGGCTCAGCCTGAGTCACTAGGGCGAGCTCTGTGGGAGTGGAGGACGAAGGTGGGCTCAGCGAGGACTGAAGGGACACGTCACCTTCCTGCCCTTTTTGTCTGGTGTGTCATCCGCAAAGCCAAGCAGCAAAACCACTCCCCACTGTCACTGGAGGCCAGGCTCTTCCCAGGGCCGCCCGCCCTGGGGGCTGGTCGGAGCCTCCGTCTGAGCCGACGAACGGGACGGAGCTCAGTGGCCCCTCTGCTTCTGTGCCAGCCCGGCCACCCTGGGGTTGGGGGTCCCACCGGCTCCACCAGACCTTGCTTCCCCCGTGACCCGACTGTTAAGGCATAAAGCTCTCCTCGCCTATGTGGCCAGGACAGGAAGACGCAACCCCAGGCGTCAGGGCGGACAGAAATGCCCCCACAGAGGCGTGTGGCCACGAAGCCCTGAGAGCCTCTTTTCCTTCTGCAGGTAACAGCCAGGGAAGCCGGGCTCCGCGCCCTGTGCCCCGACCCTCTGCAGCGACGTCCCCAAAGAAAACGCAAAGAGGGCCAGGGCTGAGCGAGTTCGGGGGGCCTCGGCTGTCCCAGGGGTGACCACTAGCTCCTGGGATAGCTGTGGGACTGGGGTCATAGAATGACTGCAAGCTCCCACACAGGCATCGATCGGGGTGCCCGGTGCACGCCCCACGCGGCCCGCAGCCCCGACGCGAGCTGGCACGGAGAGCCAACCAGGTCGCCAGGGAAGAGCGGGGAAGGGCCGCAGGAGGGGCCCAGGACGGGATTGGCCGAGGAGCTGGACACCTCCAGAGCCTGTGGGATTATGGGCCAGAAGACGGGAAATGAAAGGGCTCTCGGCTGGCTCTCTGGTCCTCCTGCAGGACGCCTGGAGGGCGGTGCTACGGCTGCCTGCGCTCCCAGCGGAAGGTAGTGGGACGGGTTCTGGATGGGAAGGTGCTCCGGGCCCAGCCTAGGGTCGGGCTGGCCCGGGAGAGGGCGCAGGCCCACTCTTCCTGGGCTTCCTAGTGGGGACGGGCTCTGAGGCCTCGGCCTGCCATTCTTCCAAACGTGTGTGGCTTTTCTATCTTGTGTTGTTTTAGTTTCTAAACTAATCCTATGGAATTACGATAATTAAAAACTAACCGGGGGGACCCCGGCTGGTGGGGCTCAGTGGACTGAGCACTGGCCTGCGAACTGGAAGGTCTTCA